GTATGGTGTGTCCGTCTTGTGTATTGGTGGTGTTTGGGAGTCATCACCAAATACGCCAAAACCACGTGGACATCTCCTGTAGTTGGGTAAAACGCTGTTAAATCATTATTTATACCTCTACGGGGTTAATGGTTATCCACTACAATGATGGTGATTATAATGATAATAATGATGATGATAATGATAATGATAATGATAATGATAATGATAATGATAATGATAATGATAATGATAATGATAATGATAATAATAATAATAATAATAATAATAATAATAATAATAATAATAATAATAATAATGATAATGATAATGATAATGATAATAATCATGGTAATGCTATTATCATTATAATTGGTATTATTATTATTGTTATTATTATTATTATTATTATTATTATTATTATTATTATTATTATTATTTATTATTATTATTGTAATGCTATTATTATTATAATTGTATTATAATAATATAATAATAATAATAATAATAATAATATTATTATTATTATTATTTTTTTATTATTATATTTATTATCATTATCATATCATTATTATTTTTTTTATCGTCCTCCTTATATTATTATTTTATTATTATTGTGTTGTTATCATTATTATCATTTGTTATTATCTTTATTATTATCAATTTTATTGTCTTTATATCATGTTATCATTATTATCATTATCATCATTACTATTATTATCATTATTATTTTTCTATTATCATCATTATCATTACTATTATTACTATTACTATTATTATCATCGTTATTACTATTATCATTATCATTATTATATCTATTATTACATTATTATCATTATTCTAATTACTATTAGATAATCTCACAATATATTCTCAAAATAGAATCTCAAAATGTATCCTGAAAATAGAACCTCCATCCACAACCTCAAAATAAATCCTCAAAACACAACCTCAAAATGTATTCTCAGAATACAACCTCCTTCCACATCCTAAAAATACAACCTCAAAATGTATCCTTTCTCAAAATAAAACATCAAAATGCAACCTCCATCCGCATCCTCAAACTGCAACTTTCATCCACATCCTCAAAATACATCCTTAAAACACAACCTCAAAATAAATCCTTAAAATACAACCTCAAAATAAATCCTTAAAATTCAACCTCAAAATACATCCTTTAAAACACAACCTCAAAATAAATCCTTAAAATCAACCTTCAAAAATAATCCTTTAAAA